CCCCTGAAGATGCTGAGACAAGTGTGGGTCACCCCACATGCCACTGAACATGCAAAGACCGCAGGGCTGTTGCAGAGGAACCAAGGAGGAAACAATTAAAAAACACATAAGGAGAACTGAAAGACAAGTTTCATCTTTATTTGCCCGTTTTTGCTAACTCAAAAGTTCAAGGGGTGCCTGAAGCCATTAGATGTGACAGAGTACATGTTTTGATCATGGTGCAGTAGTTCTGCATGTTTTACCTTTGCCTGTGTTTTACTATTTGAGAATGGATTTGAACAAGTCGGCTTGTCTCTGCGGTGAAAGCCCTCAGGGCATCATCCTCAACATGACCAAAGCCACTGACTAAGACTTGAAGTGTTTCTCAAACACTCAAAGAACTGAAGTCGGTCTCAGAGGCCGGCATCCTTTCATCCTCTGCCTCCCACTGATGTAACTTAGTCAGATCACAGGTGTGCTAACAAGGCACTTGAAAGCAAACTCTTTTTGCCACCAATATAAACATACTCCGAGTTTTTGTTTTTTTTTTTTCCTTCACTGCTCCCATCACTTATTAGTTTACCACCATCTTCTTGGCTTCTAGGAGATCTGTCTCCTAATTTTTCTTGATTTCTCTGGTTGCCCTTCCTCATTCTCCTCACAGACTCTTCGTCACTTCATACACCTCCACCTCCTCATCAAGACACTTCTCTCTTCATTCTTCCAGCTCATCCTCCCTCATGGTCTAAGATGATCCTGCTCCCCCTTGACCATCCCTGTGGTAATAGAAACAGTGATCATAGCAGCAGCAGCTACACAGAGTAACAGCACCCATGGAAGCCATAAGTGACAGCACAGCAACACAGTCTTTCACCCCAGTTTCTGTAGTGGCCTTCTACAACATTCCCCAGTCCATGATCTTGCCCCTTCCTATTGCATCTTTCACACTGTTGCCTTCATAATTTTTCAAAAATAGAATTCCATCATGCCACTCCCTACTTCCAATCTTTTAATGGCCCCAGTGGTTTTGGGGCCATTAAAATCTAAATTGGGGATAAAAATATAAATTCTTAATATCGTATTAAAGCCTGTTCCACCTGGACCTGTCTACCTCGGCCCTCACAGGTGCCCTTCACCATCTCCATCCCAAACAACTTGCATTTTAGCACATACACTATGCTATTTCTCATCTCTGTCTTGGAACCCCTTCTCCTTGCCTCATACAGGACACCCAACTCTCATGTGTCCACAAGCAACTGATGTTTCCTCTTCAGAAAGAAAACTCTCATTCTTCAGGCTAGAGCAGGTGCCTTTCGGGCGTGTTTCCTCTATCACAGCACATTACAACAATAATGCTCATTTTGCTGTTTGTTAATTTTTTCATATCCCTCTTCCTGTGTGCCTAGTACTCAACTGCAAGCATGTTTGAGATACTCAATAAGTACTGCATGAATCAATTATAGCTCAACCATGGATCAATATGTACACTGCTTTTCTTTTGTCAGTTCTGACTTGCTTCACTTCCACAAGTTGCTCCTGTTCTAGCAAGACAGACAGAAAAGTAAGCAGATATGCCTAGTATAATAATCTCAGAGGACTCATGGGCCCTCTAGGCTTATCCAGAAATCCCATACTAACAACTATAAACAATGAGGAAATGGACACACACAGGACAAATCAGAGAACATCATTCTTTAGTAACATATAATGTCAGAGCCTTGTCAGAGCATTTGCATTTATTTGTTTATTCTGAGATAGACAGGGTCTCACTCTATCACCCAGGCTGGAGTGCAGTGGCACAATCACAGCTCGTTACAGCTTCGAACTCCTGGACTCAGAGATCCTCCCACTTCAGCCTCCCAAGTAGCTGGGACTACACGTGTACACCCGCACGTCTGACTAATTTTTTAAATTTTTTGTAGAGATGGGGGTCTCCCCATGTTGTCCATGCTGACCTCAAATTCATGGGCTCAAGCCCACCTTGGCTTTCCAAAGCACTGGGATTACAGGTATGAGCCAACGTGCCAGCCCTACAGCATTTGCTTTATAAAACACGGCTGAAGAGTGCAGAGCCATACTTGCCCTCCACGATGGTCTGTAGCCCAGTAGGCAGCACCTTTGGATAAAGTTCACTTAGCCAGTTTTGAATCCACCTAATCAAGGGCATGGTGAGATACTTGGTAAAATGCTTTGTGGTAATCCTTTGTTTTACTCTGATACACCAATCGCATAAACTTTAACAAAAAAATTTTCTGCCTAGCTTTTTATTTCTCTTGACTCAAGAGTCTCTTTCCTGGGGTCCTCTGTGGTCCACAATTTCCTTGGGAAGTTTCCATCCTGTCTTTCTCATCTTGCCACCTTCAAACGGTTCCTCTTCTGCTGCTCCCAGCCCTACTTTCAACAATTTAATTCACAGAGTATGGACCCTCATTTCAGCACCTGCCCTTGGCTCTGTTCACCACTTTCTTTAATTTCATGCCTTTCCTACCATGTTGAGCATTTTTGCCTCATCTCTCCTACCCCTCCCTAGACCAGGCTCTAGCAATGGCTGGCCTTTTTCATCTTCTACTGTGAAAGCACCTGATCTGGTCACCACCCTGTGGTACCCAGGCAGCAGCCTCTAGTTTACCCTGAAACGTCATCACCAAAATGCACACTGACTTCACAACTATGACATTGACTATAGTAAAAAGAGTGTAACAGCAACACACAGCACTGGGGTCAGGGTTTCTACATCTCATTTCTCTTTGCAACTGGTACCACCCCTGTATGAGTTAACTGGCTTGATTGTTTAGAGCCATAGTTCTTAAGCTTCTTGTGAGCTGCAGAACCCCTTACTCAGATAAACTCTTAGTGTTAGCAAATAACATTTAAAGCGCTGACTGGTTCTGGCTGATGTGGATGTAGAAGTCCAGAGCCTCCTTTGCCTCTCATTCCCATGACCCTTAGGGATTCTGCAGAGCCCCAAGGTTTGAAAAGCACTGGGGGAGGGTACATTCTTTTTTTTTTTTTTTTTTTTTTGTGAGACGGAGTTTCACTCTTGTTGCCCAGGCTGGAGTGCAGTGGTGTGATCTCAGCTCACTGCAACTGGGGGAGGGTACATTCTAATGAAGCCCATATGGCAAGCTCCACACCATTCAGGTTTTGCCATAGGCTATGCAATATCCCAGAAAGCAATGTGACTTCCTAGTTATGTGGATAGATCCTAGGAAGGACTGACAGGTTCAAAACCCCATTCCCCCAGTCACTAGCTAAGGCTGATTGGACAATTTACCTAACCTCTCTGTGCCTGAGTTTTCTCATCAGTTGAACAGTGATTATAATGGTTCCTGTCCCTTTGTTTGTTAAGAATATTAAATGAGTTCACAGCAGAAAGGGCTTAGAAGAATACCTGGCCAGGTGTGGTGGCTCACGCCTGTAATCCCAGCACTTTGGGAGGCTGAGGTGGGCAGATTACCTGAGGTCAGGAGTTTGAGACCAGCCTGGCCAACATGGTGAAACCTCGTCTCTACTAAAACTACAAAAATTAGCTGGGCATGGTAGCACACGCCTGTAATCCCGGCTACTTGGGAGGCTGAGGCAGGAGAGTTGCTTGAGCCCGGGAGACAGAGGCTGCAGTGAGCCGAGATCATCGCGCCACTATACTCCAGCCTGGCCGGAAAAGTGAGACTCTGTGTCAGAAAAAAAAGAATGCCTAGCTGATCTAGAGAGGTGGTAGATAAATGTTCGCTTATTATCTTCTAAAACCATATACTGTCCTTAAGGAAGACCCAGGGACACAGTGTAAGTGACTCAGCACAGTCTTCCATTACCACAGAACACACCCTGTGGTGGGAGTCAGCACAGTTCTCCTTCTACATGGGGTGTGGCAGACTGGTCCTTTGCAAACTGTGTCTTAGAGTACATAAAGTGGTAGCTCAAGGTCCTAAAAAGGGACATTGACTTCATCCAATAGAATGGCTGACTCCACAAAGGAGTTTATTTCCCAAAGTCTACTACAGATTTAGGTAAAGTGAAAGATTATACACAGTGCACAGCTTTTCAATGGAAATGGACTGGGCCATTTGATTAGACTTGTAAATCTAAGGTTAATTGGGAGTTGAGCATTGTAATTCCAGGAAATAGGTTACAGGCATGTTTGTATGTTTCTGAATCTGTCCCCTGTTTATAGCTGCAAATATATGCCATTAATTTATGATTTTCTTTCTACAGGCTTCACCAGGGTAAACATAAATAAAGAGATTAGTCATTAAACCCAGAAGGAATTTGAGAGCAGGGCATAAAATTTAAAGAAGGTTATACCCTGAAAAAAAAATGATGTGAGAATTAAAGGCAACAGAAAATTAGCTGCTAAATCTTTGGGATAATGCAGTTTTACAGGTTGTTTTTAATAACACTTGCTATATTGTACTTTAATCTGTGATCCTGCAAGTTAAGCTAAGAAACTCCCAAGGGAAGAAGGGTAGAGGCCTAAGTAGGGTAAATAGATCTTTCCTAGAAAAACCTTTTCTTTTCTGAGTTTGTGTTTCCTTTATTACTTTTTGCTCATCAAACCTACAGGGAATGTATAAAGTGTAGATATGGACTCTACTTCCAGAATGCCTACTTTCCTGACTAAAATCTGGAATGAGAAGAAAGCTTGGAACTGTGATTCTTAAGGCTCAGCCTGAATCAGATCCCTTCCCAGTCAGCACAGGAAGTGTAGGAACAGCTTTGTCAGCATCTTCATGCACATGACCTTGATGAAAGAGGAAGGAACTGGTAATGATATGGTCCATGATACCTTATCCTCAGTTCCAAAATCCCAAAAGCCCTGCAACCAAAAGTTTTTCACGTATTTGACATAAAAACTCCATAGGTGGCCAAAATCTGACCTTTCTGACATGAGGTTCTGCATAGCCACTACTGACCTGAGGATGATGATTCATATATGTTGCGATCAAAATATTAATGTATTTGCTTATGAGGTGCTGACCCAGACTCTACTAGAAATACTACATATGCAATATATACCATTTTACCTTTCTAACATCTGCAAAGTTCTGAAATCCCAAACCTGTCTGGTGGCCGTGTCCTAAGTGATTTGAGGTGAGAAGAGGTCTGAGAAGACAGGAGCCCACTGTGGCTCTGCAGAAGGAAAGTGACAGCAGATCTAGAAGGATGGTGTACTTCAGATGAACAGGAACTCAAAGGGAGCTGTCAGGGGCATCCATTTCAGCCTGAGGAGCAGGAAACCAGTGCGATGCATGACACACCAGTCACCAGCCACACTCCTTAACTGACTGCCCATGCCTGCCTGCTGGTACCAGCTGAGGCCCAGGTAAGCACAGAACGGGAGATATTGCCACACCTACCCTCCCAGAATCTTCATCTCAGGACCCATGGCAGTATTTTTGCAAGCATCTTTCTTCATTTTTTCTTCTCTTTCACCATCTCTCTACTTCAGTTTCTCTTCCATTCTTCCAAATTCCACACTACTGTCACTCGGAATTCACTGGTGGTGATGGAAAGTCTAGGAAACCTGAAAAGAGCAAAATAAGTTTCCACCCTGGTTATACCTTTTATTATTATTATTATTCCAGATTCAGACTGCCTGGGTTCAACGTGTGACTCTACCACTTCCTAGCTACATGACTATAAACAAATTATTTCATCTCTTTTTGACTTAATTTCCTTATCCATAAAATACGGATAATAGTACCTACCCTATACAGTTGTCGAGAGGATTAAATGAGTTAATAATAGTAATATTACTATTTGAGCTAATATTAAATGAGCAAATATTATTATTAGCTAATAGAAAGTGCTTGGCATATAGTGAGTGCTTCGTAAACATAAGCTGCTATCATTTTTATATGTGTCTGTAACTGTCTTCTAAATAAATTTCATACACTAACAATGTGGTTTTTTTCCTGTAGAATTCTTTACATCCATTTCTTAAGACGGTATCATAATGGCATTTGATGGTCAATAATTACTTGGTAAAGATGAAGATAAAGGAGAAGGCAGCAAAGAGATAGATGCACAATCAAAACCTGGGTATAAAGTTCCAACATTGCTTTCATGATATTGCCTACTATAATATTCTGGTGGTGTGCATAGTTTCTCCCTCTCCTCTTTCCTCCTCTAGCTAATTTGTTTTGAAAGCTAAAAAATAAAATGAAAAAAGGGTAATGGAACATTTGATATATAAATTTGAAATAAAACTATCAAGCAGAGACAAATCTTTGAGATAGTTCATATTATATTCACATTTTTCTTTTCAGATTACCTATAAACACGAACGTAAATAAAGTAATAATTGCATTGTCCAGCTAATAACACACTGAGAAGAGTTAATTCTGCATTAAAACTGAAGCCCAATTATTTATGTATGGCAACTAGAAATCTTTCCAATGATATATCCTTCCCTGATACCCCACAAACTGTCCTAGAAGTCACACCTTGGAGTAGATGTCTCCTGACCTTCCCCAAGACATTTAGAGTAATGCCTGTCCAAATTGGCATTGTGGGCCATCTCTACCAGTTAAATCATAAACTTCATGTACATTTTTAATGTCCCCAACTCGAGAATCCATGGTTGTACTGGGAAGGCTGGGAACCCTATATACTCATCCACTCCTCTCTCACCTACTCTGACTACGGAATTAATGTCAAGACTGATATGACTTTTTTTTTTCAGGGTCAGCCCTAAATGGACCAATCCATATCTGTCTCAGTCAAATTCACCTTCACCCCACTTTATTTATCAAAAAAGTATTCACTAAAAAAATGTCCAATTTAAGGAGAAAAAAAGAATCACAGCTAAATGTGGGTTTAAAGCTGGAGAGACTTAAGATTGAAAAACTGCCAGTTCTTACTGCTCACTTACTCACATGAGGGTTTACAGCTCCTGAAATCATGCCAGGGCTTTGAAAATGAAAGCTTGCAGTTAGAAAACGATGGCTCATGACAGCAAGGATCAGTCATGTGACAGGCCAAGCGTTTTCCGTCACTGCTTCCCTCAATCAGACAGAGCTCAGAAATGGAGGTTAATCGGTCAGATAGCATCCACAGAGGCTGAGGGCAGCAGAATCCAGCCGCAGCAATTAATCATTTAATTGCTTTCTGATTCACTTTAAATGTCTTTTAAAAAGATATTAAAGAAAAACACTATTGAAAGGACATTTTAGACTATTTAATAAAGATCCAATATGCCCTTTGTGAACCAGAAAATAAATGGATCTCTAGCCCAACTCTGTTCAATGTTTTCTTGGGCAACATTTACTTATACAGAGGAAAGCGTGACAGTCTCTGCTCCCGGCAGGAGAAATAGCACATATAAAAGCACTTAGGAAAGAAAGCACGGGTATAATAAAAATGTTTTTTTGTTTTGGGGTTTTTGTCTGTTTTTTTGGCTAAAGAGCAGGATGTGTGAGGGGTGGAGAGGAAAGCCTGGAAACCTAGCAGTCTACATTTTAGAGGACCTGGAAGCCAAGATAAGGAGCCCAGACTTGATCTATTAGGTAATGGGAGCCACTGAAGGATTCTGAGCGGAGAAAGCAGCATGGTTAGGGAATAGCAGGAACTGAGGGACCCAGTGGCCCTGGGTTCTCATTCTAGTTTTGCCCCTCGTTAGCTGGCATGAATGTGGGCACATTATGTACCTTCTTTTGGTGCCTTCTAAACTGTACAATGGAGGTAATAATACCATTTCCAGGGTTATTGCAAACATTACAAATAACGTATGTGACATAGCAACCTCAGGGCCTGGCATAGAAAGGGTTCCTATTAAATGGTGTTAGCTCTCACTACTGCTGTGCTCTGGGTAGGAAGATTGAAAGGGAAGAGATGGGAGGAGGGAGAGCTTGGAGGTCCAGGCAAGAGGTCCAGAGGGCCTGGACTGGACAGAGTACAGGCAAGGAGGGTGGCAAAGAGAAACGAGATCGAACAAAGGCAGGATCCAAAAAAATGGAGGTCGAGAAAGACTAACTTGCACAGAGCCATTTGACAATGACTGGATGTGAGCAAGGGAGGAAGAGAAGCTGCAGAGACTCCAAGGAAAGGCTGAAGTATCATACAAGTCAGAAAGACACAAACTTCTACACGGATCCAAAATAAACAGTTATGTCAATAAATGCCAAACTGAGCCTGGATTTCTGGAATGACTACGGAAATAACCCAAACCATATTTATTTTCCCATCTGAATTCTTAATAATAATAGCAACTTTCAAATCTGCAGAGTCAGATGATTTGGGTTATATCATTACTCAGCATCATACACCAGGCAGCTTCTTCTCCCCACACACCTTTGCCAGGGCTCACTTCTTCACCTCACCTCCACTATGGAAGTCTGGCCATTTCCTGGGGCACTTCAACCAGCTTCATTGTCCTCACTCACTTTCCAGGCCTGTCAGCACACACGACTGCTGATGCTTTCCTCAGCCTGTGACTGCCTTCCCCACAAAACTCACGTTCACAGATAGCAGGTAGAGAAATACCTGGGACTTCAGAACAGCAGTGCAGCAACTAATAACTCATCACACCTGACATTTTCATTAGGTACTGTGTTAGAAGTGTCTTCAAGAAGCAGCTTTAGTAATTTTGTACCACTCTGCTCAGAGGAGATTAATATGACTTACACAGAGGGGCCTAGCCCCTCACCCAGCACAAGCTTCCATCCTCCTACAAGTCAGCTGTGGGTTTCAGCCCTGTCAGCTCCATGTAATTCACAAAGGAATCAGTCCACGGATACTGCCCAGCCATGCACGTGCCTGCCAGGACACTCAGGGGAAACTTTACAGTGTGTATAAATAAGCTTTAATATTGTAGTATACCTTTTGGGATGCATGTCTAATTTGTTAGAACATGCAGAAGAGCTGACAAACCACTTTGTACCTTTTCGGCAGCCTCTGCTTTGCACGGCTGTCCTGGTGAAACACAGGACCTGGGCTCCTGTCTTCTTCTTCCACTAAAGTTGTTGTTTTTCTTGAACATCTCTGAGAAAACACTGAATATGGTTTGACTTTGTTCCATCATTTATTCCAGGCCAAATGTCCTGCTGACTTATCTTTAATGAATAAGATTGTACTGACAGTGCAACCTGCCCAACTCCAGAGTAACAACACAAAATATAGTGTTTTGTAGGTATTAAAATGTTTTATGCTTTACAAAGGGAAGTGGGATGTGGGGAGGTGATGACAGCATGAGGCCAAAGGTGGTTCACAAGTCAACTCTTCCTAGACGGGAAAGTCTTCCTTCTGAATTCTGCACAGGAAATATTATATTCCTTATCCAGCAGCCCTGGGCACAGGGAAGCGAAGACCCAGCTCCTGCATGGCCAACTCGCCAATGGTGTGCCAGTCTTACTTTTTTTTTTTTTTTTTGAGATGGAGTCTCACTCCGTTGCCAGGCTAGAGTGCAGTGGCACGATCCCAGCTCACTGTAACCTCCGCCTCCTGGGTTCAAGGGTTCGAGCAATTCTCCTGACTCAGCCTCCAGAGTAGCTGGAACTACAGGTACACACTACCATGCCCAGCCAATTTTTTTTTTTTTTTTTTTTTTTTGTATTTTTAGTAAAGATGAGGTTTCACCATGCTGGCCAGGATGGTCTCCATCTCTTGACCTCGTGATCCACCCGCCTCGGCCTCCCAAAGTGCTGGGATTACAAGCATGAGCCACCACGCCCGGCCCGGTCTTACTCTTTACCCTTGTTTCAGATGAACGGAGACTGACAGCTATGGGTAAGTTTTCTACTTTTTGATCTCTGTGTGTCACAGTAATATTAATGATAAAAAATCTAATATTCATTGAGTGCTACTATTTCTATTTTACTCCTTTGCCACCACCTTATGGGATAAGGTGTTATTATTACTCACACTTAACAGATGAAGAAACTGGGCTTCAGAGAGTATATTAGTCAAAGTTCTCCAGAGAAACAGAACCAATAGAATGGATGGATGGATAGATAGATAGATAGATAGATAGATAGATAGATAGATAGATAGATAGACAGACAGACAGACAGACAAGAGCAGGGTTATTATGGAAACTGGGTCATGTGATTATGGAGGCTGAGAAGCCCACGATAGGTAGTCTGCAAGCTGGAGAACCAGAGGAGTCAGTGGTATAGCTCAGTCCAAGTCCCAAGGCCTCAGAACCAGTGAAGACAATGATGTAACTCTTGATCAGAGGCCAAAGGCCTGAGAACCTCGGGGCTGCCTGTTCAAAACTCCCAGAGTCTGAAGGCCAGAGACCCTGAAGTCCTCATGTACAAGGCAGGAGAAGCTCCGGAAGAGAGAGCAAATTCGCCTTTTCCCTGCCTTTTGGTTCTCTCCAGGCCCTCAGCTGATTTGACGGTGCCCATCCACACTGGGTGAGAGCAGATCTTCCTTTCTCAGTCCACTGACTCAAATGTCAGTCTCTCCCAGAAACAACTTCACAGACTTACCCAGAAATAATGCTTTACCAACTGTCTGGGAATCCCTTAACCTAGTTAAGTTGACACCTAAAATTAACCATCACAGAGAGGTAGTAATTTACCCAAGGTGAGACAGCTGGTAACCAAGAAAACTAGAACTCAACCCAGGTCTCTTTCACACCAGAGTTAGATTTAAAAATTACTGTAACTCACTGGAACAATGGCACCCCCAGATTACATTCCAGGAGCATTTACTAGAGAATTCCAGCTTGGTATCTACAATTAAAAAAGAAAAAGCCTCAGTGCTTACTGCTATAAGTTTGACTAGACACACACTTATTAACATAAAATGATCTTAACCATTTCAGGAAAAAGCAGATCAACTCTGTGACATTCACTGACATCCTACTCTATAAAAGGCACACAGCTAATTATCATTAAACGGGGGAGGAGTGTCAAAGAGTAAGATGAGGTCCCTTTCTCAGGGTACCTGCAGCTTAAAAAGATAGACAAGCCCTAAAACCATGCAATTCAAGGTGATATCATGAAAGGCATTGCAAAGGTGGATGAGATTAGTTGGCAAATTAACAATACATAGTAAAAGTGCTAGAGTGATTCGGGTGAGGAAGATTTCTTTCCAAGCAGGAGTAGTCAGGGAAGACAAGATCAGAGAGACAGGACTTCAGGCAGGAACTGGAGGAGGGATAGCCCTTGATGAGGCTGGAGATTGCTAGAAAGTAGAAGGGGCATCCAACAGAAGTGAGAATGCCTGGAGTGGGTGAGAGGGAAAATCAATGCCAGGCAGTAAAGGGCATAGCATGTTGGCAAGATCTTATACAGTAAAAGCCTATGCATCTTTTTTTCTGATCACCAAAATTTGAATTATCCAAAAGAATATTGAACGAGGTATCATATACTTTATTTTTCATCTAAGAATCTTATTTTTGTGTGTTTAATTTAAAACTTTTCGTCTTCAAATTAATACACCAGGAAATTTTTTAAAACATATTAGTTTCCTCATGTATAAAACTGCCCATTTTGTCTTTAAAGTCTAACAATTTGACTACATGATTTTTCTTGATAATACTGTTTAAACAAACTTCTCCTAGTGGGTAAAAGTCAAATAAATTCACCTAGGTGGATCTTTCAGAAGCAGAGGTTATAAATATGTACAGATATTTATTTACATAATTTATTCACACACTGGGAAAATTAGCCCCTTCGAGGGAGCTGGTTCTCTTTACAGTGCATTGACTCTCAGTTCCTGTGTGTTTTCTGATGCCTCTTACCCCACTGCAGGCCAGGCCACTGGGGCATTGGTTTACAAGTGATGCCTTTGGATTCTTTGGCATTACCGATCTTCAAGAAATCGTGGCTCTCCACTCAGAGTCGGCCTTAGCAAGTTCAGAGGGAATGTGTAAAACAGGGGGTGTCAGAAAAACCTTGGTCTTTTCTTACCCGTGACACTGAAGATGAGGACCATAGATTGGGGATCTAAAAATGAGACAGAAGACTCTGCATCAGCTCTCCACACCTAGACCTCCTCTGTGACCTAAAAATATACTGCATATGAAATGCACAGCAATAGAGCAAAACCATAAATTAAAAGTATACATTTATTAAGCACCTATCATGGGCCAGACACTGTGCTAAAAGCTTACGTCCGTGACTTCACTTGATCTTCATAACTACACTGTGAGGGAAGCCCTTGTATTATATTCATCTTACAGATGAATAATGCAGGATAAGAAAGATTAAGGTGCCGGAAGACACACAGCCAACGGGAAGGCAGACCTGGGAGTCAGGTCAAACCTCCTTGTCTTCAGTCTTGTGACCCACTACACTGTGCTTGATTGGAATGCAGAGTGAGCCCCGACAGGTAAAGCACAGGGACACACTGACACAGACGGGGTTGTGTCCTCCCAAATTTTGTATAAAGTCCCAACCCCCAAGGTGACTGTATTTCAAGATAGAGCCTTTAAGGGATCATTGTAGTTAAATGAGGTAATAAGGGTGAGGATTGGTATCCTCGTAAGAAGAGGAGGAGACACCAGGGTTTCTATATTTGCATGCAAATGAGAAAAGACCATGTGAGGACACAGCAAGAAGGCGGCCATCTGCAGGGCAAGGAGAGTGGCCTCAAGAGAAACTAAGTCTGCCATCACCTTGATCTTGGACTTACAGCCTCCAGAGCTGTGGAAAAAAAAAAAAGTTCTGTTGTTTATACCACCAATTCTTTGGTATTTTTCATGGCAGCCCTAACAGACTAATACACATACCTTCTGCTATTTCACATTTGGCTTCTCTGCCCCAGCTGGGTCTCCCACAGCTACCCTTGATCCTAACTGTCTTATAGGACTCAAAATCTGGAGTAGGAGGTTTCTAAACCAGTGGGCTATTCCATTTGGTTATCATGAAGACCTCTGTTGAAATACTCTGTTGGATCTCAGAACAAGCTGAAGGTGATCTAGGGCAGGGCATTTCAAACTCCCTATGGTGAAGGGCCAATTTCCTCTATTCCTTTGTTGACAGATAGGTGATCCTACCATGCATGTCTGGGTAGGCAGTTCCAGTCACAAGTAACTCACCAAGAAAGTGGAACAACATGCCGTTCCATAGTATTTCCTCATCAGATGCTTGGACTTCTCAGCCAAGCAGTGGCGTGCCGCAAATGTTTAGCACCCGGTTCTTAAGGGTGGGAGGAGTCCTGATTTGTAGCATTTGTCAATTTGCATGATAAAAATACCTCCCATTATGGCTGATTTCAAGCTACCACAGTGAAGTACTGAGCTGCAAAAATGGGAAGAAATGCCCACGATCTCTCTGGCTCTGGCTCTCTCGACTGGTACCACCCACCTCCTGCACATCATTGTAGCAATGTGCAATGCTATAAAGTTTCTAAATACAGACTGTGGATTTCTGTACTTACCTCCTTGCAGAAGGCAGATCACACTTTGCATAACACTGACCTAAATTGCTTAAGCTCAAGAGTCCCCAGAGAGGCCCCCTAAAGTCCATTAGCTCACTGTTTTATTAGGTAAAATTCTGGACCGATAAAGTTCATGCAATGCCCATGCAATGCACAGCAATAGAGCAAATCTTAAGGTAACAGTGCACATTTATTGAGCATTTTCAGAAACGGCCCATTTAATCATAATTAGCTATGAAAAATGGCAGGAGCTCAGCTCTGGTCTTCTCTCCTTTTTTTCTTCCTTCCATCTAGAATTATTATCTTAATGGCCTTCTCCTATCTCCTCTTTTACATTTTCCCTTCTCTTGTTCTCCCTTCTCTGAAGGATTGTTCTTCCATTTCCTTTGCCTCTTTTCAACAACATAGTCAAGCACAAGCTTCCCATTGGTCTGCTTTCTTTCCCTACAATTTAACTTTATTGTGAGAATGGATCCTACTCTTTGTTATAAGGAGCAATGAGGGGATAAGCCCACTCAAGCAACTCAAGGGTAAAACCCAAAGCAGGCAACAGCTTTAAGGGCCTGTGGGATTAAAGGCAGATAATGGAGTGTTACTTTAGCCCTCTTTATCCTTGCTTTCCCAGAACCAATTCTGCTTTGTTCTGTTTT